TCACCTGCATGGTGTAAACTTGTTGCAAATTTTTTTTAAGCTTATTGCTCTGTTATTGCACTTCTCTTTTTGCCCCTCCAGAGCCTCCCTTCCTTCATCTAAAAGTGAGCTTTTAGTCCTCGCTTTTGCTATTTGTCCTTACTTTTGAGTCCTTCCATGACCAAGGTCTCTATTCTTCTCCCCATGTTATGGGGATGGCAATTTTGATTTGCCAAGTGTTCCAACCTCCAACATCCACTTGTCAAAGCTGCCAAAGAATAACATTTTTTATTTCTTACAGGCAAACCCTTCATGCAGGAATGGCATCCAAAACACCTCCAATGTCCACTGTTTATCAAAGACCTCCTGAAAACCTCTTCTGAAAAAAGCCCAGAGCTCAACCAGAGCCCAGCACCTGAGGCACTGACACTGTCACAATGGTCAAAGGCACCTTGTTTGCTTTCACTTCTTCCCCTGCCCCTGCTCCTGTGCTGATGTCTCTTACTGCAGACAGTAAGCTCTTAGTGGCAGAGCCTGTTGTCTGCTCCATGCGTGTGTCACAGGCAGCACAGGGAGATCCTGATGGGAGATGGAGATCACGGACACAGCGCAGCAGCGGTGATGCCTGACCACGCAGCACTGGAGAGGATACAAGGAGCCAGGATGCCAAGGTGAAGTTATGTTCATCCTGATAGTGCAACCCAGCTGTGATCAACCTGCAGTGCATGGATTATCAGAACACGACGAATGAAAAGCATGGTTCTCCAAAAATAATTGTCCCAAAGGCAGAAGGCATGAGAGGCACACACCAGAGAGCAGCTGCCTGAACAGAAACACTGCAGACTTTGAAAGTGTCGTGTGTGAAAAAAGCTGCAGCTCCTTCAAAGTACGGGCCTTCTGATGACAAACTTTCTTTACCACATGTAATTATTTGTGTAAATGTAATAGTAGATTTCAATGTCTTGTTCTTCTCTTTTCTTTTTTTTTTTTTCTTCTGCTTTGCCTTGTTATTTCTTCTGGTTTACTTTGCTATTGCTATCTTTATTCAAATGAATACATGCAAGTAACATGTTTGCATATAGTAAGATTATTTCCTCCTTCCCCTGCTCTGCCAAGCACGCAATTCACTAAATTACAGAAACATGGAGCTGGATCACGTATAGAACATTCATCACAGATGTCTACTGAATTCCAGGGAAGGGCTTTCACAGCCTGTGCTTAGATATCCTTAGAAGGGTTTTCTTTATTGTTACGTCACTCACTGAGAGAAAAACAAGTAAGTTCTCTCTTCAGATAACAACTAATCCATGTCCTGCTTATCACAGCCTTTTTTTCAAAGTCAGTTCTTCCCTCAGTATTTTCTTCCCAGGGGAAAAGAAAAAAAAAATCCTTCAACCTTTCTTCTCATCAATCACTTTAAAAAAAATCCATGTCCTATATTTCTACCTTTCTTTAAACATTTCTCCCCATCCTTCTGAAAGTTCAGGCCACAGTATTTCAGCAGACATCTCCACAGCACCAGGCAGAGAACAGACATTTCCTAGGTCTATTTACTCTCTCCACCCCAGAATGTCTCCTACTGGAGTTCAAAGCACACAAAACACAGGTGACACATTTTTGCTCATAGTTCCATTTTAACTTCTAGATGACTTATTATATTATGACCTTACAGACAAAATATGAATGTTAAAAGTGCAATATGAAACTCTGAGGTAAACCTAAACCCCACGTTCATGTGTAGCTTCCCCCACCTTTGCACATGCATTTTAAAAAGAAAGATTCTACGGAAACAAAATTTACATTTGAAAACAAATGAAAAAGAAGCATTAGCTGAAGAAAACATAACAAGTACCCAGATATTAATTTTTGAAAGTGAATTATTTACCTTGTTTAAAAGAAAAAAAAAATCCTTCGTGTTTCTGTCTTGCTGTAAGTTTAAAATACCTAAACCACTGTGAACCCTTTCTTAAAAGAAACTCCCTGTAAAAAGCCATATATTGCATATATTGTAATTGCAATGAAATCATTACAGATTACACAATACTATGATGCAATCAGAAATCTGGAGACTCAATGGCTGGTAATAATGACTGAAGAACATAAAGTTATCTATGTCCAAATACAAATGTAACATTGTAGATCTCCACAATGAAGAGATTGCACAGGCATAGACCAATTTTGAGTTGGAAAGTCACAGCAAAGCATTAGGTAAAAATGAGTACTGAAAATAATTTCTGAAAAAATAAACACAAACTTAGCATCATAGGAATCTCTGAGTCTTCACTAAGTATGAAAAGAACAGCTTACAGCTACTCTGAAGTGATCTTTTATTTTTTTGGTCTGTCTACAGTTATGACAACTCTTTGTCCCTAATTCCTCCCAACACCAAAAATAACAAGTCCATATTTGTTTTCTAATAGCACTAGCCACCACAACTTGTAACTTCTTCCTTTGTAAATCCAAGGAGACAATGGGCCTGGGCTTCCAAACAAACACCAGTAGGAGCAATAGGACAGTGGTGCCCCTAGTCCTTCATGGAGCAAAGGATGCCAACGACAGTCCTCTCATAACACAGCCCTTAACCTGTCTGGCAAGAGACATTTTGTCCAGCCTCAAAGAAAACTATCCTCTGCTTCCACAGGCTAAAGGGGAGATCAGTTATGCCCCATACACTCATTTTGTTTAGTTCAAGACTAAAATCATAGAATCATAGAATGTTAAGGGGTTGGAATGGACATTAAAGATCATCTAGTCCCACCTCTGCCATGGGCAGGGATACATCCCACTAGACCAGATTGCTCAAGGCCTTATCCAATCTGGCTTTGAACACTGCCAGGACTGGAGGAACTGCAACCTCCCTGGGCAACACTGTTCCAGTGTCTCACTACCCTCACAGTAAAGAATTTCTTCCCTATATCTAACCTAAAATTCCCCTCTTTCAATTTGTAACAATTACTCCTTGTCCCATCACTACAGTGCCTAACGAAGAGTCCCTCTCCAGCTTCCCTGTAAACCCCCTTCAGACACTGAAAGGTTTCTGTGATGTCTCCACGCAACCTTCTCTTCTCCAGGCTGAACAGCCCCAACTTTTTCAGCCTGTCTTTGTAGGGGAGGTGTTCCAGTCCTCCTATCAACTTTATGGCCCTCCTCAGGGGCCATATGTTGGGGACACCAGAACTGTATGCATACTCCAGGTGGGGTCTCACAAGAGCATATTAATAGTGCTTTTTTACTGCCTGAACTTCACCTATTCTTGAACTTCTCAGAATAAACTGGAGGTTAACACAGATTTTATAAAGTACATTTATGACTTGTTCTTCCACTAGCAGGAAGATTCATCTTGGAAAAATAAGAACTTGGCAATAAACACTCAGCAACTGATTTTCCCATTTTCCTTTTTTAAATGCTTCCTCAATTCACTGCAAGACATTACTAAACCCATAAAACAGACAGTACTGTCAACTGTCAGTTGTGTGAAGTAAAGGTGTTGGAATAATCCAGGCAAAGCTAAAATGCCCAAGATGAAACACGCAATGAAAGTACAACGGGGATAATTTATCAATACAACTGACTGGAGCAAAAACCAGTTTTGGTCCAAATGGCCTGTGATGCTATAGTTAGATCTCTTCACATCCATAGTGTGTTTCACCTTCAGTTCACCAACAGACGTTGTAACCATCAACAGAAAATTAAGGATGAGCAATAAGCCAGCCTTCAGAGGAAAGGCCTCACAGTTTTTAGGGGACTCTACCTCTCCCTCCCACACAACAGACACAAGCTCCTTTGTGCTCTGCCAAAGAGCTGCCAGTTAAACACGTTTCCTCCTTAATTCCCAGATTCCTAGTTTGTCCCCAGAACCTTTGACTTCTGTGCACCTCCTGCCCACAGCTGCACCGGTGCACTCGTGTGTTATCCACTGAAAGGCAAACCACCTGCCCACCCCTCTCCCGTAGGCAAGGGATGCCTGGCAGACTGAACACTGAATCACCCAGCAATCGCTCTTAGAAACGTGCTGTGGGTGGTCTCGGGTATGTTCAGGATGCCATGAAAATATGCTGGAACTGTCAAAACAAGCACCCTTCACTGAATTTGCTATTTGAGTGGTAATTCACAGATCAGGTTTTCGTGACAAAGTTTTAGTTCAAAACTGCAGCAACGAGAAAGAAAAGGGCCCCTCTTCAGAGCACGGTATTTTCCAGTCACTTTTCAAGATCTGGCTAGAGCAGAAGTGATGCAAGCCCTTTTTCCCTTCACCTCCCTCAATCCACAATCCTGCAAAAAGCAGGGATTTAATTCTAGCCCCTTCAGTCAGGCATGCCTTATTCATAACCCTCTTACCACGTATTTAATCTTTTCTTGGGACTGTGCACAGAGCAACAGCAAGTCATGCAACCCACTAATCTCCACAAGGAATGCAGGAATAATAAGTAAATAAATAAGAATGGATTCGGGACAAGCAATGGCCACAAGGTATTTGTAAGGAATTAAACACACCATCCTGTTTCCTACAAGCTGCCTTCACAAAATGTCTATTTTGGTAGGATTAGAGCTGGATAGTGCAAAACTACAAGTTATTTTTTGTTTGTTTTAGCTGGTGGGGGGTGGATTTTTTTCCCCCAAGTTGCAAAGCAGACGGAGAAATGGTAATATTAGAAACCTGACATTTTGCACTCATTCCTGCTTGCATAACCATATGTTTTTATACCAAATGGGATTCCTTTGATGATTATGGTGATCTACTGCTGCACATGATTTTACTTAAAGATTTTTCCTGTGTTCTCAAGACCTAATGCCATGCAAAACAGAAGAGCGTCATCCAAGTTCTATGGCACACTCAATTTGTAACAAGTTCTTCATATCTCCCTCTGTTCTGCTTGCTTTTTTCAAAGAGTAACAAGGAAGTTTCATAGCCAATGGATACGAGTTTTAAAACATATGCCAGCTAAAGATAGCCATCTGATCTTTGAAACATTCTTTGCATGTAGGCACTGCAGATTCTCAGAAAAAGCAACAGAACTTACCCTCATCTGTAGGGTTGAACCCACAGATATCACAGATACATCGGACCCACTTATTCATCTCCTCCTCGCTGTCTGCTACCAAATAGAAAACTCGGTCTATAGTGTTGATATCAAAAATATAGCTGTTTTCAAACTCTTTTTTGTTGAACGTTAATCCAGCATCCACTTGTTGACACAAATTTAAGTCAATAATACGGATAGGCTTCTTGGCATGGTCATTTTTGTAGTATTCCAATACATCCGGATCCCCCGTTAAACGGCCGCTCCGAAGAACAAACCATCTTCTCTTCCATGCCTGAAAATTGGAGAGAGAAAAAAGGGAGAAAAGTTAGAAGAAATCAGACTTTAAGACTGTTTTGTGTACGGCTTCAACCTGGGTTGAACCAAGTGCTAATAAATAGTCCAATTGTTATTTTAAGAGATTACACACCAGATACCTACATTTAATACAATCTACTTAGGTATTGTTACAGCAGTGGACTTGAGGATTAGTGAATTTGTATTTTGAAGTTTATTTCTTAGCTTTGCTTATAACAAGTGGATATATAAACTAAATCACTGTTTACAAAATGAGAAAGAATGAATCCAGTAAAGAAAAAAAAGGGGGAAGGGGACCAGGAGCGGGGTGGGAGGGGGGGAAACTCCACACAAAAGCCTATGAAGGAAGCTCTCATAGGCATGGGGAAGACAAAATAAAATACATTTTTCAGTGCTGCATAGCATTTTTTTTCCAATATCTGTTGCTTCAGGCTGATGCATTTTAACTGAATTTTTCACTGATACTCAACAATAGTTGACCTGTATTTAAAGAACAGACAATGCTCACATTGTACACTCGCCTTGATGCCAGGGGACCTCTGCACTCAGAACCTCATAATATTTCTACAGTAGTACTTCTCACAGAAAAAGAGCTACATTATTCTTTTTGAAACCATTAGAGAGACGAGGATGGAGAGAATGACCAAATGTTATAATTTTACCACATAAAGCCAGTCTTTGGGGAAGGTACATCCACAGAAGAAATATATTTGATAGTCTGACGCTGTGCCTAACACACCAGCCCTCCTGATGCTGCAGAGACAAAGAAGCTGGTCTGAGAGAAAAGCACAACTAAATTGCCTCATCTTCTAACTGATCCTCAGCTGTCTTTCATTCCCATGGGCCTCCATCACCTGTTATAATTCTGATCAAAGGCATTAACTTAAACTAAGAAAACAAGGTTTGCATACAGCTGTCCTGTTGCTTCCAACAGCAACTTTATTGCCCCACTTGTTCCTCAGCTCTACCAGCAATACAACATTGTGTGCTGCAAGCTTCTTTATATGCCCCAAGTCCAGGATAACGAGCACAGCAGAAGAAACCAGACGTACTGCCACTGCCCACTGGAAGAGGTGCACTGCCTTCAGAGTCAGAAATCTGAAAGCAGAGCCCAGGCACAGTGGGGAGCCATCACTGTGTCATCCATTTGTTCTTACACTTTCCAGCAAAGTTGGAGACCAAGAAAAATCAACGCAGTAGCCAAGTCCCTGCACATCACACTACAGGCTCACACCGTGCCCCAAGGCAGCCCATTTAAAACTTCTTTGGGATATTCAAACGAGGTTGTCAGCAAGTCCTTTGGAAGATAAAAAAAAAAAAAAACAACAGAAGAAATGCATAAATAAGACAGGTGAGTGCATTTTCCTTTTGGTCAGCTCTGGTTGCAGGCTAACCAAAGAAAGGAATGAAATCAGCAAGGATGGTCCCAGAAGAGGTCAAGATGTGTGATGTCCCTTACACACTGGGAGTAGGTTTCAAAACAAGTGTTTCTTACTGTGTATTAGAAAAAGATTCACAGACATTTTTTGTGAGGCACAAGAGCGCTTCCATTCCATTTTTAGTGTAGCTGTTACCTTCAAACAAACTAGTGGAAGGAGGACATAAAGGACAAAGAGGGAGAACTGCACTGCCATCTCCCAGCTCTGAACTAGCATCGTCAGCTTGGCCCTGGAGACTCACAAAACCCTCATTGTGAAGTGGGAATGCCTTTTTGGGGTATCAAGCTTAGAAAGTTATTATGAAAAGATAATACAGAAAACAGGAGGAAGGGAAAAATGCCAGACAGCTTAATTAAGGCTTGTGATCCATTCTCCAACTACCAACACTCAAAAAGTTATTTGATTTTAAGGTAATGTCTATACTTCACAAAACAAATATATTTATTGTAGTTGTACAATATATATGTATAGTATATTGTATTTATTGTGTATTATATTATGATGAATACAGCATCTGCCTTTAAATGTTGAACTGTGTGAATCAAGTCAAAGTCTCAAAGAACTATTTCCATGGTAGCAATAAGTTTAACTGGGTGAACACTCAAACACAGAAGTAGAAAACATAACAGACGAAACCTCTTCAAATTTAGATTTCAAATGTGGGTATATTCTAGTAGCACAGCTGGATAAGCACTGTCTAACAGCGACCCAAAAACACTAGCAAAGTTTGTTTTGTTTCCTGTTTCCAAATCAAGTGACAACTTAGATGCTGGGATAACAGGAAACGTCAGTATCGGAGGCTTTCTCTCCAGGCAAGGTTGGTCACAGATAACTGTTATAAACCAAACTGCAAAACCCTCCTGCTTCAAAAACTGCCTTTATCTTTAACCTCAGTCCTCAGCCACGCAGATGAAATTTTCAAAGCTGAAATCAGGAGGGAAGAGATTAGAGATAGGAGAGGGACAAGAGCAGTTGAGAAGCACGATGTGTTTTGTCTCATAATTCGTGCAACAACAAAACACTATGCAAAAAACCCCATCAACTCTGTACCAACCAGGTGTGCCTCTTCTAGAAGTTTATTTCTGGTACTATGTTAAGGAGCAAAAGGTTCTTAGCAATTCTGATAATCTCTGTTTAGCATTAACGAGTAAATAGGATTCTCTAAAACTGAGAAAAACCAACCAGCTAAAAGAATTTCCTTTCAGCCCTTCAGGCTACAAAACAGCAACTATAAAGTACTTAAAACATTGAATTTAGCCTACCAGCACCTGCTACTATTTTTGCAGAGTTTTCACATAGTGCATATGTGAACGTTTATTTCAGTCCTATAATGAGTCACACTCACTGAAACTGGCACAGATTATACTCAAAAACAAAAGCAATTCCATAAACTACACACTAATAAGGCAGATACAAAGGTTCTCTGGATTACAGTACAAAGCACAATTTAGCAGCAGAATAAAGCTTAAAGCTAGACAAGCGAACTGACATCAGCACCCTTGCTAATCATAGTACAAAAGCGCCTCTATATTTTGTCAAAGTGCAAAATGAGCTCACATAAATCACTCTTTGTTATTTGAAAATATCTGGGATTCTTAAGGCTGGATCTATTTTTAGCATTTCAGTATTTGTCACTGTAAAGAAAGCTGTACACTGCCTCACTGAAGCACAGATCAGTGTGCTGGATGTGTAAGGAAGAGCTTCTTCAGTAACAGCTTTCCAAAGAGAAATCTCCAAAAGAGAGCATGTGCACATGTGGAAATAGCTGTATTTTCCTTTTTTTTTTTTTTTTTTAACCCCCTTTGGGCATTTTTGTTTAAAAATTTTGAAATTTTTTTTACAGAGCACGTTACAGACTATTTCTTGTAATCACCCAAAAAGATGCAACCGGTTTACGTCACAGGAAAATTACAGGTAGTAATTATTTATCCATCACATAACTGATGTTATCAGCCATACATTATCAAACACTGGTTTTCTGTGCTAAAAGTCAACTGCTTTAAGTTTGAGAAGTCGAAAAAATAGCCATGACGGGATTTAAACATTTTGCACAAATATTATTTAATTCTGGAAACAAAATTGAGCCAAGAAATAATCAAACATATAAAATATGTTATTAATATAAATAGGATTTCAAAATATATTTTACAAATATACTACCAGTTACTAAACACTGCTTGCAGAGCAAATACTTAGTTGAGAAGTAAAATGGTTCCATTTGTAAGCGTAGTAAGGCAAAAGTCATGGGAATCAAGCTCACCAAAAGCCTGTGTAGGCTTTGTAGATTATTACAAAACACGGTTTAACAAGGTTTGCTGCTTTTGTTTCAGACTAAGAAGGGCCTTGTGTGCCTCAGCTTGTTTTCTCCTTCGAGCTGCAAAGCATATCAGCTGGCCTAACATAGGACACCACCATGCCTGCCAAACATTGTCCTGTTTGTATCATGAGACCATCGTATCATGAGACCATCATAACTATAGAAACAGGCTTGTTTTCTTGTTTTTGAGGCAGGCTGAAATCTGACAAGCTGCTCACCCACAGAGCATCAAATGATCAAAGGAACAGTGGAGTTCTGTATTTTTCACACAGCGTTTTGAGTAGGTTACAAAGTAAAACCAAAAAATTCCTACTATTGTTATTTTTTTCAGTAAGATACTTCCAAACTGCTGATGTAAAAATGAATGAATCAGCTAAGGAATTGGCAGAAAGCATCACGTACCAGTGTTAAGAGTTTAGTTGCTTTTTGTTTTGTTGTTTTGTTTTTTTTTTAAATACTGTAGTTAATCCTGTATCCAGTACACTGATTTTACAATATATTCTCCTTACAAGAGGTGTATCTGTTGAAAAAGTTGTAGCTATGCCTCCCCTAATCTTTCCATTATGGATTTCCCCCTCCCCTCCCATCATGTACACTCGAGATGTACCTCATTCAGCTGCTGGCTATAGTTCAAAGAGGTAGGAAATAGGGGATGTATGTGTAAATGGAGAGGGAAAGGAAGGAGGAAGGGGCAGGAAAGAGTAGATAATTTATATTTTTAAAAGGATTTAACCTTCCATTTGGATCTCCTCAAGCTGTTGCTCAAGAGGCCAAACTGATTACATGACATGTTTAAATAAAAGCTCAGAAACGTTAAGTCAAAGACAACTTTTTCGGTTCATTTTTACAGATTTTGCCCTCATGTGACCAAGACAAGTACCAAGTAACTGTGGTTACTGATAAGAAAATATAGGAGCACAATTGACCAGTTTAAGTATTATTACCCATCAAACTGTCATTTAAAGCTGATTTTCTTCTTGTTCTAGCACGTTTACCACCTTTTTTGGGGGGGGGAAGCATCCAGTCAAAAAAAATCTTTCCAAACTGTTGAGCACTGGCTAAGCCAAAGAGGGTATCACATTCCACTCTGGTAATACTGCTCATAAATCTTTCCCTATGTATGACCAGTAAACTCAAGAATAAAATTACCAATCTCAAGCCTCCCTTCTCATCTCTCAAGTGTGGAGACATTTGTGCTTAGGTTTGCATCTCTGAACTCCA